ACCACTCCTTGGGCCTGGCCACCCACACAGATGTTTGCCCAGTGAACAGATGCTGCAGAATGTCTTTGATAAAGGTCCTGTAAGCCCAGAATACTGGGATGAGTGCAGATTTTGCTCTTCAAGCACAGAAATTTATTCATTTTCTCTCTTTCCCTCTCTCTGTGGCTCGAGGGCACTTGTGACTTCAGTGTGTGACTCACTGTGTGCAAAGGGCAAATATGGACAGAATCCACATTGGCTGGGTGTCTCTGCAGCTCTACATCTCCCCCTGACATGGCAGAGCACACAAACTGCCCATCCCTGTGTCCCTTTTTCCACTGTCTGTTCTTTGGTTTGGCCCAGAAACCTCCCGAGGTCCCTTCCAGGATGAGTCCCAGTGCACTGCCCTCCACCGTGGGCCTTCCCTTCCTGATCCAGCATCTGTGGGGCAGCAGAGCTGGGTCAGTGCAGGGACAGGGCTGGCTCTGACAGGGGTCATGAAGCCTCTGCCAGGAGGTGACAGCAAGGACAGTTTGCAAAGAACAAATTTAGATACAGTGACTTTGTTGGAATCAAGGGGGTCATTGTGACACCAGAGAAAGTCAGGGAATCAATGAGCTGTTGTGACACTTCAGGGTCTCATGGAACCAAAGGAATCCTGTGACAGTGAGGAACCTCGTGGAGTCAAGGGCCTATTGAAACACTGTGAAGCTCATGGAAGCAGAGGAATTCTGGAAGAGTGTGGAACTTCATGGAATCAAAGGGCCATTCTGAAACTGGAGGGCCTCATGGAACTGAAGGAAACCTGGGAGACTGCAGAATCTCCTGGAATCAAGTGGCCAGTGTGACACAGGGGACCCTATGGAAGCAAAGAAACCCTGGGACATTTTGGAACTTCATGGAATCAACGGGCCATTGTGACACTGGGGAACTTCATGGAATTGTGTGGCCATTGTGACACTGCAGGGCCTCATATTAGCTCATTAACTATTAGTAATTATTAGTGCTACTGTTATTGCTGAAAGAGCAGAAATTCAAGACTGCAGCTGGCTTTAAGTTACTACATTCTTTAACGTGCTCTGCCTTCAAATCAAAGCATACCTAGTGATGGTCAGGCAGATGTCTCTGCACTCTCAAAATGTTCAGACAATTTTTAGCTCAAATCCTCCCTCCCCTCACCCATAACACAAGAACTGCAGAAACTACAACACCTATTTCGTGTGTCCTTATGGTCACATGTGCATGTGCAGGTCACAATATATAATCAAATCACAATTCCTATGGATATTATTAATGTGTCAAACTGTGGGGTTTATTAATTGAGACAGAGAAGCAGATATGTTTCTGAATGTTAGTTCTTTCTCTGTGTCCACTCAATCCCACACACCTCAAGCCCTGCACTCACACAATATATTGGGAGTGTTTTAAGATGATTTTTAATTGAGCCAAAGAGGAAGAAAAAAATTAGTTCAAACCTTGCACCAGAGCCAAAAAGACATGTGCCCCGATTTCATTGAAATGCA